GACTCTTATCCATGGGGGCTGGGGGGAATGTCCCGATGAAGGCATTACCTTCTTGTGCACGTGGAGTGTGTGTGTGTGTGTGTGTGTGAGAGAGAGAGAGAGAGAGAAGAAGGAGGGAGGGGGAGAGAGAGAGAGGGAGGGAGAAACTTGAGTGTACCTTTTCATATTCCACACCCTACTCCTCGGGGACTCTGAAACACTCCGCTGGCCCAGCAACATGGATTTGTTCCCCAGGAACTGCTAAAATGAGAAAATACTTGCTGTGATTAATATGATTGAATACACTAATGCCATGGTCTTTTACAGAAAAAAAAATGAGTTATTATCTCCATTTTAAGGAGACTGAGAATGAGGAAAAGTTAAGTTCCTTGTCCAAGGTCACCAGGTGGTATGTGGCAGAGTCAGACTTTGAACTCAGAGGTCGCTCTCATATGTACTCATACAGGTGACATAACACAGGGTTGGCAGGTAGAGATGAAATTACTTTGCTTTAGTCTGTTATTCTTCCCAACTGCTCTGGGGATGGAGACAGAAGCGCACTATGCTTTGCTCTAAGGAACAGACTCAGCTACTCACTGGGTTTCCGTGCAGTAGAAACTGCGTTACTTCTATTGTTTCATCTGGTCCTCATGAACTCTGGGAGGCTGGCATTATTGACCCCAGTTAAAAGATCAGGAAATGAAGATTCAGTAACTTGCTCAAGGTCTCATAGTGACTAAATGATGCACTAGAATTGAATGAGGTCTTTCTTTTTTTTTATTTTAAAATTTTTTATTGATTATGCTGTTACAGTTGTTCTATTCCCCCCTTCATTCCCCTCCACCCTATCCCCCCATCCCCACCGTTATCCCCCCTTTAGTTTATGACCATGTGTCTCAATTCCTTTAGATTCTATATTTCCCATGCTATTCTTGCCCCCCCCATCTATTTTCTATCTACTGTCTATGCTACTTATTTTCTGTACCTTCTCCCCCCTTCTCCTCCCACTCCCCTGTTGCTAACCCTCCTTGAGATCTTCATTTCTATGTTTCCACTCCTGATCTAGCTGTACTTTTAGTTTGCTTTTGTTTTAGGTGTGGTTGTTAATAACTGTGAGTTTGTTGTCCTTTCACTGTTCATGTTTCTTTAACTTCTTTTTCTTAGATAAGTCCCTTTAACGTTTCATATAATAAGGGCTTGGTGATGATGAACTCCTTGAATTTGATCTTATCTGAGAAGCACCTTATCTGTCCTTCCATTCTAAATGAAAGTTTTGCTGGATAGAGCAATCTTGGTTGTAGGTTTTTGGATTTCATGACTTGGAATACTTCTTTCCAGCCCCTTCTTGCCTGTAAGGTCTCTTTTGAGAAATCCGCTGACAGTCTGATGGGTACTCCTTTGTAGGTGACTGTCCCCTTATCTCTTGCTGCTTCTAGGATTCTCTCCTTCATTTGAATCTTGGCTAATGTAATGATGATGTGCCTTGGTGTGTTCCTTCTTGGGTCCAACTTCTTTGGGACTCTCTGAGCTTCCTGGATTTCCTGGAAGTCTATTTCCTTTGCTAGATTGGGGAAATTCTCCTTTATTATTTGTTCAAATAAGTTTTCCACTGGTGGCTGTGCCTTTCCCCCTTCTGGTACCCCTATAATTCGGATGTTGGAGCGTTTAAAGATGTCCTGGAGGTTCCTAAGACTCTCCTCATTTCTTTGAATTCTTGCTTCTTGACTTTTTTCTGTTTGGCCATTATTTGCTTTCTTCTGGTCCACTCCATTGATTTGAGTCCCAGTTTCCTTTTCATCACTATTGGTTTCCTGTGCAATTCCGTTCATTTCAATTAGTTTCGCCTTCATATGTTTCTCTAATTTGTGGCTATAATCAACCAGATCTGTGAGGATCCTGATGACCAGTGTTTTAAACTGTGCGTCTGAGAGTTTTGCTATTTCTTCATCGCTTAGGTCTATGGGCTCTGGGGCTTTGAGATATTCTTGCGACATTTTTGGTCTGTTCTGGCCCTTGAAGTGTGAGAAGCAGTGCCTTGGACTCCCAGGTCACTGGGTTGTGACGCTGTATGTGGGGGCGTGGTCAGAGCGGGGAAATGGCGACCCCCTCTGCTGTTTCTCACAGCTGGGTGAGGATTAGCGTCTTAGGTGGTTCACCTGGGCCGGGCCACTCAGAGTCACTGGGTTATGACGCTGTATGTGGAGGTGGGGTCAGAGCAGGGAAATGGCGGCGCCCTCCACTGCCACTTGCCTCAGGGACCTGCCGGGCCCCGGTCCAACCGCTCACTCCCTCGCCTGTCCGCCCGTGCACAAATGCGCGACCACAGTCAGCACGCAGCACTGCTCCCCTGCTGTCTCCCCCGCTGTGTCCCCCGCGGTCGCTCGCCTGGTGGCTCGCTCAGTCGCTCACTAGGTCCAACCCTGCGCCTGGATTCTGCGCGTCTGGATTCCGCGCCTGAGTCCGGCTGACCGAGACCTGTGCAATCCCGCTTCACCAGCCGCTGGTTTCACCCCTTACCGGTCAGGCTGAAGAATTTGTTGTTAACGGACTTCCGAGAAGTTCAGTTTTTCGTGTTCTGACTATGTTTTCTGTTGCTAATATTTAGTTGTCTCTAAACTTGGTTGTGTGAGAAGGCACGGCACATCCACCTATGCCTCCATCTTGGCGGAAGTCTCTTGCCCTGAATGAGGTCTTTCTGACTCCACAGATACACATTACACTTTCCCCAAATCCCTTCTTTGTGCCTGGTTTTACAAACAAATCTAAAATACAGGGTGGGGCAAAAGTACATTTACAGTTGTGAGTACAGAGTTTTTCTTTGTTTTTTAATCCTCACCCAAAGGCATGGTTATTGATTTTAGAGAGAGGGGAAGAGAGGGAGACAGAGAAAGAGAGGAAGAGAAACATCTGTGTGAGAGAGAAACATCGATCGGTTGCCTCTCCTCTGCACCCTGACCAGGCACAAATCTACAGCCTAAGCCTGTGCCCTGACCGAAAATTGAACCCATGACCTTTCCATTTACAGGAGAACACTCCACCAACTGAGCCACACTGGCCAGGGCGATTTCTGCTTTATGTATGAAATATTGTTTTATTTTCCACAATGACTGTAAACCTACTTTTGCTCCACCCCATCTTTGCAAAAGGCCAAAATATGTTTCTAAATCAGAATATTGGCCCAGATATTGTGTCAGTTGGCTTTCCTCCAATGCCATGTACCCTTCCTTCTTAAAAAGATTTAAAAATAAGTTTTTCCTTTTTTGTTGTCGAATCTATAGCTGCCACCGGCAAAGAAATGAAAATAATGATCCAGAATGTTTTCTGGGGGGTGAAGGCACAGAACACTCAGAGTATCCACTGGGTTCCCTGAGCTGACGAGCTCAACCTATGAATGGGAGGATGCTAGTTTTCTAGAAATAGACTTTGAGGCTTGATTTGGGAGGTTTTGTTGTTGTTTTAATCCACTGATATGGACAACATCTACCCATAATTTCTAATTAGAGGCCATTTCTGTGCCTTATCCCAGCAGAAATGTGTGTCTCAGCACGGGTGGCGGGGACCAAACTTTGCTGAGTGAATTAATGAATGCACAATGGACAGAGAATCAAGCCATTGGACACTTTTGTGGAAGTGAATTCAGATAATGCAAGAGAAGCCAGAGGTGCCCGGAGACCTGATAAACAAACTCACCGCACACTTTGCCCAGAGCAGACTTACCACTCTGTTCACTGTAGTTTATCCTAGGTTTCTCTCATAGCATTGAGGGCAGAACAGATTTTTGTAATCCCAAATGTCAGGGAGCAAAGCCAGAAGATGCAGTATGCCTAAAACAGCATATTCAATGAGTTTCTGAACTCTGATCTTTTTCTTCTGGAAGAAGTACCCTCCTTTATTTCTCTGGCTGGCTTTCGAGTCAAAGAGATTGCAGCTGATGGCATGGCATAAGTGTGCATGGGCATGGGTGTCTGATCCCTGCAAGATAAGTGGCCAAATAGGAAACTCACCCCCATACCCCTGGACCCTCCACAAGTCAGAGAGAAGACACAGGAATACCTGTGCTTGTTGCGTGTGTGGCCACCAGGGGGCCCCAGCAGCAGGCTATGTGAGCAGGGAATTGGGTAGCTGAGGCGGCCTCCCTTTGTCTGCACCCCAGGTGTGGGCTCCTTTTGTTCGGAGGCAGGGCTGCTTCTGCAGCGTCTGAACTGTCTGCTGGGTAACCCCACCCTGGATGGTCTACCCACCTCCTCGAGGGGAAAGGAGTCTTTCTTAGCTTCTGCCTCTAGTTACACCTGACATTACCCCAAAGAGCCAATGTTTTCTCTTGAATGGGACGAGGTATCTTTGTGTTTAGAAACACGGCTGAAACTACAAAGGGAAATATTTCTCACTCCAACAGAGAGTGTATCGATGTTGAGAAATTGATGGCGAAAGGACCAGTTTTCAGGGGAGAGTGGCGTATTTGCCATAAAATATTTAAAGCTAGTTGACAAACAGTCCCACTAGTCTCCTGTGAATGCCAGCCACCGGATTTATCTTGAAAGTGAGGAATATTTCATTCTGTGCTTAGCACAGAAGAAAGGGGTGACCTTCACAAACACTCCAAAGGGCCTGAGCCTGGGGAGCTCAGCTCCAGCCACAGTCCCCACATTCACTCTGCGTTGTTTTCATGCCTGCTTTTGAACTTCAAAGGAATAGCAAAGCAAAAATAAACAAATTACAGTAGCATTAGAGCTACTGTGTAAACAATAAAATACAGGAGTTGTAACAGCCGGTAATGGGGGTGGGGAGTGTGGATTGCAAACATGTATACGGTCAAAATTTTGTTCTTCTGTTTTCACCATTTGTTTGTATTGTTGCTGACAGCAAAGGAGTGTCGTGACACACACACTAACTTCTTTGTGCCCTGGATCTGTTACTCAGATGTGACATGTAATTGGCGTCCTTCAGAGCCATGTATGGAGTACCTACTGGGCACCTATTGTGTGCAAACCATCGTGGAGAAAACAAAGGTTGGCCAGACAAGGATTCAGCCCCCTGAAAGCTTGTAATGGAGGAGGGGGATAAAGTACATTCCAAAATTAACAGTAAAAGGAGACAGAGCATCTGCCAGTTGGGAAGTAGAAGGGGAATTCAACAGGAGAGCTGCCGTCTGGCTTGGGCACCAGGGAAGATTCTCCTGGCAGGTGCCTTCCATTCGAACCTCACAATACAGAGGGTGCCAGGCAGGGAGGATTCAGGAGAGGGCTGGGGCTGCCAGCCTCAGGTGGGATGGGCACTGTGAGAAGGGGTTGCGTTTGTGAAGGAGAGGACAGGAAATAAATTTGGACAGGGAAGGGGGGGAGACTTTAAATGCTAAATTGGCATGAGAGCTAAAGCCAATTGGAATTTCCATCCCTAAACAGACCAAATTATCAACACAACGCCTTTCATCTCATAAGTCTTTTAATATTGGAAGAAAAAAAGGTATAAATGTCTTAAAAAATTCTTTTCAAACAGAGTTAAGATCTTTGTAGCACCTATATGCCCCTTTCCCAGCAGCAAATAGACATTACCCAGCATTAATGCCATATGTGAATGAGTAAAATATCTGAGCTATTTTTTTTTTTTACTGTTTCTTTTGGAAAAATGCTTTGGGAGGTCCACAGACAGGTTCCTGAGCCTGTGGAGAAGGAGGTTAGCATCTTGTTTCAGCCACCTCCTGCCCATTTACTGATATTAAACATTTGCCAGGAGTGGCAAGAGCTTCACACCTCTGACTCTGAGGAAAAGATAGTAAGCAATCGGCCTGCTGAGTTCTCCCCACTGGTTATGGCTTTAACGATGCAGGTTGCAGATCAGCCTTCAGATGTCAGTTCTGAACCTAGAGCTGCTCATGTGTTCTTCAAAATAACGGACTTCAGAGTTGCCACCCCCCCTACCCACGTGCTAAGCCTCCCCAGTCATCCCGTTTCTTTTTAGCAATTACGTTTGTTTGTTATCTCTGTCTTTCTTCTGGCCTTTGGACCCAGTGGAAAAAACATTAGTCTGTCTTATTCTACATCTGCACATCACAGGGCGCCTCGGCAGTGCCTTCACACCCGCACCCCCTTTTTCCTGTCCCTTTGTCAATTAGGGGTAATAAAAATATCCACTTCACAGGCCCACACTGTACTTTCTCTAACAAACAACACTACGGCTCTATAAAGGTAACTATTGTCATCCAGACTGCAGAAATAGAATCTGGCATCTCTCTGTGAGACTTCTGAGATGAGTCATGAAACCTGTTGCTCCATTTGGGCTAAGAAAGATATTAACATTGGGCTGAAGAGTACACATTCCCTCCTCATAGAACAAGTCACTGCTGACTATTTATCTCCAGATGCAATGGAGAAAGCAAAACTGCAAACTGGGGGTTCAGCCGAAGCTTTATGTCAGGTGCACTGTGGCATTACAATTATCAACTCATTTAACCTTCACAGCACATTACACGAGGGGACTTTGGTTGCAGGTGGAGAACTCAGGCTCAGTGGGTGTAAGTAATTTGCTCGAGATCACATGGTTAATAAGGGACAGAACCAGAGTTTGAAACCAGATGCTGTCTTCTTTAAAACACAGATGGTGACAACCAGGTAACAGCCAAGTTACACTGTTGCCCCTATAAAGATCTGGAGGGACACATCAATTTCTTATCAAATGAGTAGATGTAGTCTTTGATCAGAAGAATTCTGGGAAAACAGGAAGTTCCATTCTGATGGAGAGGCCAAGGTTGTGGGGGGCCATTTGTCCCTGCAGGGCTGGCTCCAGCTCAGGTTACATCAGGGCTGCATGGCACAAAAGAAAGAAAGATGGGGGGACAGTGAATGGGGGTCAGGAAGATTCAGTCCAAAGTGACTGGAGTGTGTGCATGAGCCCCCAACTATGCACCAAGCTGCATTGAAAAAAAAAAAAAAAAAAAAGAGCCTTATTGGGAAGATAGACTGGGATGGCCTCCTGGAGGGAATTTTTAAAAAATACTTTAAATCAACTAGAAAATGTGACATGGGTGCATAGTGTGATTATTCAACATTCATTATTCACTGCGTGTTAGGAGCTTGGTTTGTGTGACCCCCTAGGTCTGGCTGCTGCTGTTCCTGTGTCACTCCTAATCGTTTTTTAAACTGACTATGTCCTTTTAACCATATTTTTAAAAATTGAACCTCCCCAATGTGAACACTCTCCACTTTGCTACATAATGAGAGTACTTTCATTCCTTTAATGTTTGCTTTTCTCTTTGATCTAACAATTTCTGTTCAAATTTCACAGTTTTCTGTTGCTTCAGGATTGAAAGAACCCATTACCCTGCTGGGAGCTTAAAATAGACTTTAAAAAATCTGCATGGTATTTCCTCCCAGTGAAATTAATTTAGGTTTAAATGCAGGGAGTGGGGGGAGGGACACACCTCTTGCTCCAGTCTCTGTCTTGCTCGCACACCTGAGCAGCTTCTCATCCTGAAAAGCACAGTCAGACCTGTGGAGAGCCAGTCTTCTGTCTTTTGTGCAGATTCTTTGCAAGACAAAGTCAAAGAACCTCTTTCTCTCTGATACCCCGCTTTGTGTGGGCACGATGACATATTTGGACCATCTCTATTTCTTTGAAGGCCAACCTTAAATGCCCCATGGACCCTCCGGGCACTGCCCACGGCTGGGGTACTTAAGTGCAGCTGGATTATTTTGCTGGGTGTTTTGAGGGTGTTTTACAAAACTTACCTTCTTGCAGGGGTGGGACAATCAGCTCCAGAACAACAAAGGACAATTTGAAGGGGAGTGAAAGGAGCGCTCCACAGTCGCTTGGCATCCCAGGCTCCCTTCTGGCTAACAACGTGTCCTTAGTGGCCCCGCCTGCGCCCTCTCTTTTCCACCCCGGCCCGCTCCCTGCTCTCCTCAGGCTGGCCAGGCACAGAGAGCCCCAACACCTCCCCGCCGCCACTGCCAGTCGCCTTCAAACCCTTGGAGCGTTGCTGCACGCTCGCCCCGAGCGCCCCGAGCGCCCCGCGGCGGCCTCCGCAGCACATAGGACCCCTCTCCTCGGTCCAGTGTCCTCCCGCCCGCGGCACGCAGTCTCCCCCTCCAGCCCCGAAGCAGGAGCTGTCAAGCTCGCTGCAGCTGATCCAGCCCCCGAACTCCCGCGTCTCCTCTCCTTCCTTTGTGTGCTCGCGAGCAGAGTTGGGGCGGAGGGAAAAGGGGGAGGTCGCTCTGTCTGTCTGCCTCCCGCTGGCTTTGCCCGGGCTGCTTCAAGTGCCTCTGGGAAGGCAGAAGCCTAGGAGAGGGTGAGGGTAGCAGGCGGGGTGACTTGGGGACGCCCCGGAGCCCTGGTCCCGGCGGTGCTCTGCGAAGTGCTCACCGCAGCTGGGGCTCGGCTGGAGTCACTATCGGTCCGCTCTGCCCGCCCCTTGGCCTCCCTCCGCTCCCACCTACCTACCGCCCAACACCCGGAGAAAAGCGGTGCAAAGGCGCAGAGAGGGACGGAAACCACAAATAAATAGCGGCGGCAGCAGCGCGTCATCTGGCGGAGCAGGAAGTGCAGGCAGAGTCCAGAGGCTGGTGCTTTCTGCGCGTCCCTAGGACTTTGACATGGGCTGGGGGCCGCGGAGGCTGAGAGCGGCCGGGCGAGGGCAGCGGAGGCTGCGTCCGCACCGGGGCTGAGCGAGCAGCGACGCGCGGGGCGCGGAGATGGCAGCGTCCAGCAACTCCAGCCTGTCCGGCTCCTCCGTGTCCTCTGGTGAGTTTCAGCCTGTCGGGCGCGGCTGCCGCTCTGGGTCTCTCGCCCGCGCCCTGTGATGGATAGAACCTACCTGTGGTCGCCCTGCCCGCTCCGTCAGAGTGGGAGCAGGCGTCCGGCGTGACACTTGTTTGGTTTGCCATCACCCTCAGTGCCCACACCACCTCCGTGCCTGACATCTGACAGCGCAGAGGCGGGAGAGCAGTGGCGCCCTTACTGTGCGGACACAGGCGTTCTGGGGATTTGGGGAGCAGCATGGAGAAGCGAAAGGAGCAGGGCAGGCTCGCACTTTCTGGCGCAGCTGGAACTGGGGCTGGCTGGGCGTGAAAGGTTGGGGTGACGCTGGGCGTCTGGACCCGCTTGCAATGACGCTCCACTACGATGGATGCCCAAATTCAAGGCAAAGGGGTGCAAACCCTCGCTTCTCGCAGACTTGATTTTCTTTGTTTGTTTCAGAAATTAGCTCCGTGGAGAGACACGCTTGGGGCATGGGTTTGAGATGGAAGTGATGAAGGGATTGTGTCCTTCTGCTCCTGGTTGAAGCCAGTTAGGGAACGGGAGCCTCTGACAACTTGCCTGGTTATACAAGAGTGTGTGTGTGTGTGTGTGTGTGTGTGTGTGTGTGTGTGTGTGTGTGTGAGAGAGAGAGAGAGAGAGAGAGAGAGAGAGAGAGAGAGATATTTTCCCTGCGTGGCCTCCTGGAATATGCTCTGTAATTTCACTTTCCAGGCATACATTTCCCACCCACCCCCAAGTACAACTGAGCAAAGGAAGGGCTTCTTTCAGCTTTTCTACGGTTGATCAGATGGTCTAATTGAAGAGAAAAACAAAACTTAGTAATGAACCTGAAGGAGCAGGAATCAATAGAAGCACCCCCACTGGTTTTCTGAGTCTGGCGGGTTTCTAATCACAGTGATGCATGGGGTAGAATTCTTTTACCTCTTTGGTCATTGAAAACTTTAATGACAAACCTTCAAGGGATATCTGATAAGACATTTCATGTGGTGTACAGTATTTGGGGCTCTTGAAGTCCTAATGGAAACACTCAGTATATTAATATTGTATTAATTCCTATTGTGTATTATGTTTTATCACCCCAAATTAAACTCAAAGAAAGAAACACCTTGTTGGAGACATTGGACAGCCAGGCAGGCATTCAGGAACCATACCTGTAGATGTGTGACTAATTAAATCATAAAGGCAAGGTGAATTTGACGGCAGCGCAATTGTGATGTGGCCTGAGAGGATCACTTGAAAGCCATCTGTTATCTTTTTTGGCAGGTTGAGTTCCAGGGAAACAGCACTTCCTTGCTCGATCACTGCCAACCAACCAAGAGCTCAGTGCTGTTAGATGTACAGATAGTTCAAGTTTCTCATAGTAGCAGCCAGTGGGACAGAACAGTCATATCTTATTAAGAACAGCAACAAGTTGACCGCCTGTGGTTTTGATTCTGAGAACTCAGCAAATGCTACAGCTTATTTTTAGTATGCTCAACCCACTGCTGCTGCTTCTTGATTCATTCTGGTTGACTAACATTGAATTTGAAATACAGTGATGTTGGCTCACAATTAGCATGTGGTTATCCCTCTCATCAAACTTCCCACTTGGAAAATCAACTCAAGAGGTAGAGGTGGCTAAAGGGGAGAAGGGTAGAGAAAGGGCCCGACAGCAGGCGCTTCCCATGATTCACTGATGGCATGAGTGACAGGTGATGTGGCATCTGAGTTTTCAGGCCTTGGTGTAGTGTAAGAAACCTCGCTGAAAAACCTAAGTCACCCTTAGGAAAAACATGTGGATTTGAAGCAGCAGTGCTCATAGGCTTTACATGATGGTAATTGCTTTGCAGACAGGCTGGAGATGCTTGTGATGGTTCTCTTTCTTGCTCAGCTACCCCTGTTTTAAATCCTAATGGAAACAGAAGAATTATGTAAAAGCTGCAATTCAAAGAGCGGGCCTGGGTATATTATTTGATGTGAATCAACCTGGGCCTGCACTCATATTGTCTATTTCACCAATTAATCAGGCACTTTGTCTCAAAAAATAATGAGAACTGTAGTTCTCTTTTTAAACACACTTCTCAAGGTGTGAATCATGAATAATTCAGATGACACGAGCAATTCACACCTGCGAGAGGTGTTGGGCAGGAAAGAATAAAGCCTGTTTATGGTGGCAGCTGGGTTCTCCCGGGCAAAGGTCAGAATCTGAGCAGTGAGGGCACTCCATCAACCAATCACCATTGCTGAGGGCCTACTGTGTACCAGGAGTAAGTCATAAACCTCAGCTTCAAGAAGGGTAAGCTTGAAAAACAATTCTGGGTTTCCTCCTACCTCTGAAGGTTTGTGATTACTGTCTTTGAGTTCTGGTTCCACCACTAACCAGTTGGGTAACTTGGGGTGAATTATTTAACTTTCTCAATTTTCCAGAAATGAGGCAAATGCTAATAATAGGACCTGCTTCTTAGGACTATTATTGAGATTAAATGAGATGATGTGTGTAGAGCATTTAACACAGGGTGTGACACCTAAGTACTTGATGTGAATAAACTTTGCTCCTTGGAGGAATGAAAATAAAAAAAGGCAGTCACTGGCTCAGACTTTAGATGCAGAAATAAGTCCAACACACGTAAAATCTGCCACTTACAGGGCATGTTATATTTGATCTTGAGTTTGGGGCTCCATTAAACAAGCATTTATTGTCTTTTAGGTTTCAGGCATAGCCCCAAGTGTTGGGGATGGAAAGGTGAATCAAGATCCTCACCTTCCAGCAGCAGGGGTGGACAAGCCCAGATCAATCTGTGTTCCAACTTGACTCCATGAAGAATGTGGAGGAGAGAGCAGGGAAGAGAGGATGACCTCAGTTTAGAGGGGTCAGTGGAGGTGACCTATGATTCAGCCTTAAAGGATGAGTAGGGTTTTTCCAGAAAGTAGAAAAAGGGGAAGGCATTTCAGAAGGAGGAAAGAGCTCGGGCAAGGGCCTGGAGATGAAGTTCATGACCTAGTTTTCAACATCCTTTCTTAGGGCTATTGATCTTTTTTCTCCTCAGTGACTCCCCATCTCTGCACAGTTATGCTTATAGGGCCACAAGCAGCATGGCGCACAGAGCTGCCAGGTCACTGCCTGCTGCTGCCGATGTAGGAGGCTTCCTTTCTGTTCAGGTACCAGTGGGTTTAATGACACAGCTTTGGACAATCAAGCACTGTTGGTTCTGGAGTGACCAGCCTAGGGAGAGGTGAACTCGAACACCACGGGTCAAACCTCTCTCAGGGAAGTAGCCATGGAAGCTTGAGGTTCCTCTGCGTTTGCACAAAGAGTAAAGATCTAATCACTTCTTTAGTATTAAGCCCCAAATCTGACTTTTCTGAGAATAGGTTCACACTTGCCATTGTTGAACGCATCATGCACATGTGTCATTTGTCTGTCTTAGCAAGGGAGACACAACAAATGAAACAATCAGGTTAAAATTAATTTTGAAATACATATTTGGAGAACACTTTAGAAATTTCCTTCTGGAATATTCAATTATGTGCACAAGAAATTGCTTTGCCTTTGTTTTAATGGTAACTGCTGGTAATTAAATTTCACAATCACCTAGATTGGCAGGAAGGTTTGATTACCTTTATTTTTAGTCCCTATTTTTAAGCCTTTAATCTAGCCTGTGATTATACTCTGAAGTAAACTGTGGTTGATTTGCAAAATAGTTTTTTTAATCATTATGGGTTATAGTTGCTTTTATAATTGAAATAAGAACTTTTTGCATGTAGTGATGCAATGGCCAAATGGATAATTGCACAAAGAAAACAACTCAAGTAAAGTAATAAGAAGCTATGAGCTGTTTTCTAGTAACTGGACTGAATAAAAAAATAAATATTAAAGGGGCCTCAGGATAAGAAGTTGTTAAGATTTTGAGAACATAAACACACTTATAGAATTGAAATCAAAATAGACTTTTAAAATTAAAATGCAAATGAAAATGGGTAAAAATCAGTATTAGGTGCAGTTATCAAAACTTACATGGGAAAAGAACATTCCTGAATAGGGCGAAGGAGTTACTTCCTCAGATTCTATGCAACAGTAATGTGGGCTAGGAAAATACAGTTGTCCCTGGGTATCCACTGGGGATGGGTTCCAGGACCCCCATGGGTACCAATTCAAGGATGCTTAGTCCCTCATATAAAGTGGCAGAGATCCATGCATACTCCACATCCACGGATACAGAGGCCTGGCTGTAATGCATGGGTGTTGATCCTAGAGACGATAAATAGGAATTTTCATTCCTTATTATTAGAGAGCTACAACCAGTGACATACACAGACCTTCATATTTCCAGATGCAGAAGGTAAAACTGAAGTATACAACTGCTCCCAGGACTTACGTATGTGAAATCAGAAACTCCAGGTATCAGACACTACAAAACAGGGTGTCTTTGCTGAAACAGAGGAGTCTTCTTGTGGGCATTGGGATTCTCCAGAAATATTCAGTTATGTGTCAAAGCCATTTCTTTATCTTTGTTTTAGTGATACCTGCTGGTAATTTCATATCATAATCACCTCAAGTGGCCAGAAGATTTGATTACCAAGAAAAAAATGTGATTTCAATAAAAAACTCAAATAAGAAAAATCACAGAGCTAACAGGAACCCCCTGAGAGAAATCGTTCCCTCAGATGCGCAGTATTGTTGTTTGCTGTCTTCTCGGTGACCTTTCCACACCTTGTTTTAACTCACTAGAGTTTCTCTATGCATTTGAGGGAACCCAGGAGAACCCAGGGGCAGAGAATCAGAGGAGAGGAGGTCTGTCTTAAACACCACAGCATGTCTGTAGTGTCTGCCAGGGGCCTACTGACCTGTGCACTTTTGTGAACATGCCAGATGCCCCCCACTGCCACCAACCCTGTGGAGTGCTTTGAATGGCCCCGACGCTTGGTAAGCTTTTAGCGGGCACGGAAAGGAGGTATCTTCCAAGGCCAGTCTGTGCAGGGTTGAACTAGACGCCGTGTTCTCT